ATTTTGACTATTTATATTTTCAATAAGAATTATGCGTGGGACATTGATGCAATCGTGTGCTAGTTATTGTAGTATGTCGGATTACTCGTTTTAGTTCCTGTACAGATTTTTTTGTAGACCTGTATAACAATGTGGTGTCCAGGATGCTTCCGACGCCAACAAAGATCCACTATCTCTTTAATTTGCGAGATATTTCTAAGATTTTCCAAGGGCTGTTGCGCAGCCACAAGGACTACCAAAACGACAAGGCCTCACTGCTCAAGCTGTGGATTCATGAGTGTTTTCGCGTGTTCTTTGATCGGCTGATCGATGATCAGTGAGTCCAACCATTAAATTTCCTGATTAGTTTGCATTTGCCCATTTCGTCTGCAGGGACCAAGACTGGTTTATGACGCAAATGAATGAGCAATTGGGGCGGCATTTCGATTTGACCCTGCACAGCTTGTGCCCGGGCAGGGATATTCCAATCTATGCAGACTTTGTAAACCCCTGGAACGTCTATGAGGTAGAACTGGATAAACTGATCTCAGTCAACAGCTGGATATTGTGGATCCTTTAGGAGCATGCCGATCCTACTGCCCTGAAAGGGTTTGTGGAGAAGCAAATGGAAGAGTACAACGTTTCGCCTGGAGTGGTTGCAATGGACCTGGTACTGTTCAAGGATGCTTTGGAGCACATTTGTAGAATAGTTCGCGTGATTTCACAACCGAGAGGCAACATGCTACTTGTGGGAATTGGTAAGGAAGGCAAATGTTGTCCAGTTATTTTGCTCAAGTATTTTCGCGTCCAAAGTACGGAGGTTTCTCAAGTTTTGCGAGGCCTGGCCACTTTGAGGAAACACTTTATTGTGGATCATTCTTTACAGGCTTTATTTAAGGTTATTATTATATCTATATTTGTTTCAAAATTTTCACAATTTTTTTAATTTCAGAGCTAGATTTGTCTACTCGCAATTATTCACTTAGATTAGAAGGATCCAAACGAATAAATTGCTTTTTACTCATATACATGAGATTTACTCATACACAAAAATGTAAATTTTAGGGGGCAGTGGACGTCAATCCCTTTCGAAGATTGCTGCCTACATTTGCGAGTACAACACATTCCAAATATCGGTTACCCGAAGTTACAAAACCGTCGAATTCAAAGAAGACTTGAAAACTCTTTACGGATTAGCCGGAGTGGCGCTGAAGGAAACCTCGTTTCTGTTCAACGACACCCAAGTGACCGACGAGAGTTTTCTGGAAATCATCAACAACATGTTGAGTAGCGGAGAAGTGGCCAATCTGTACAAACCGGATGAGTTCGAAGATGTAAGTGCTGGCAGTAAGTGAAACTGCTCCTAATCGATTCGTGACCAACAAAGGTGAAGAACAAATTGGATAGTGCGGCAAATAAAGCCGGAATCCTGCATACAAATGAAGCAATGTACGAGTTTCTGGTGTCCAGAGTTCGGGCCAATCTGCACATCGTTCTGTGCATGAGCCCCATAGGGGACGACTTCCGAAATAGACTCAGGTAACAATTACTCAACATCCAAAAATTGTCGAAATTTGAAACCGTCTGACGTTTTGCGATTGTTCTTCTGAAGAAACAAAGCTTCGACCAGCTGGAAATTTTTATCAAATATTGATTTGCATCTGAACCGGTTAATTTTCCCTTGCTCCCATGTGTGCACAAGTGTCAATTATTGGCGATTAAATCGTACCGCCCGCGATATTGCCAATGGATTTTTTGTGGGTGTTACCGTGCAAAATTATTTTTTCGTTAATTTTTTTTTGGCTAAAATCTGCAATGACTTGGCCATTTTCCATAAAATCCACAAAGTGCTGATTAAATGCTAGTATTCCTCTCGGTAATTACATACTCGGTTGGCCCTTGAGAACGTTTTAGAAACACGCATAAATTATGAATTTTTCGTTTAGAAGCACCAAGGCACAGCACATTTAAAAAAACAAAATGCCCTGTTCATTGACATAGCTATCGAATATCGTAAAAAATGAGGCAATATTCCTTTAGGCAATACCCAGCGCTGGTCAATTGCACGACCATTGACTGGTTTCATGAATGGCCCAAAGAGGCTCTTTTGGAGGTGGCCAGGAAGTTCATAGCTGATGTGAATTTCAGCGAAACTATAACGGGAAAAGATCTGGTTAGCGGTGGAAAACTGGGAATTTGCTGGAACGTTACGGATTTTTTTTTGGCAGGCGATTAGAAGAGAGTCGCTGGTCCAATCGACGCAGGAACGAATGGAGCTGGCCACTTCCGAAGCATTTGCAACCATCCACGACTCGGTAGTGCAGTATTCGAAGCGAATGCTCAACGAAATGAAAAGATACAACTATGTGACGCCTACGAATTATTTGGAATTGGTTTCAGGGTATAAGAAGTGAGTATTCCTGAGGGGAACCGTGAAGATTTTTTAAATTCGATAAAAAGGAGCGTTTGAGGTTTGCAACTACAAGAGTACAAAAGGAGCGTTTGAGGTTGCACGTACAACGTGAAGTATTTATCAAAGAGACTGTCGACACAAATCAAGAAAAAGCGAAATTAATTAATGTGCTGAAGGCAGAAATGAAGTCTAAAAATTATAGTGGAAACACTTGAGGCACAAAGTTTGKCTTATTTCTCCTATAGGTGAACGAGGAATAAGATGGCCACCTACGAGTAGTTTTACTCTAATTTCTTCTTGATAGACATCAWTGTTTCCTTTAAACTGATWGATTCTCAAGCCACATTTGTCTTCGTACATTTTAAACACGGTATGACTAATCTTCTAGGTGGGTGAAATKAGKAAACCGTCACCGTCAAAAGYGAATCTTCCAACTGAAGCGTTGGAAGATCGTGGAAAATWATTTCTTCCTTACGTTTTGCATGCACGACWGTCTTGCATCTTCCAAAGAGGTTTTTGGTAATACCAAGACTAGCAAGGTCATACACTTGGTCTTGTTCGTGAGCAGAGAGACTTGCAAGTCTTTCTATTAAATATGTTAAGAGTTTAAAACTGTTGYCGAATTTCAAATGTGCATTTAAAAAACGGGCCAGTTTGAGCAATYSTGTTTGCAGTTTTTAATAAGCTGTTGAACTGCTTTCGCTGCTGTCTTTCTTGAGTAAAAATTGACTGTCTMRATGAAACTTTACACAAATATTGCATACATTTGCACTGTTTTTKAATCATCTTTGGATTTTTCAACTGATCAAACCACTCCTCGACTGTTTGAASTCTGCATCTATAAATTTYAATTGAAAATATTTACGTAATTTGTGGCCTGTGAAARCCAYYAAAAAATTGTGGAATTTSATCTTCTGGTGTGGTAAGSACATGGTGGTTTGTAGAATGTTGGGGCAAAAGCGAGTGCTGCTCTCATCGCAGGCCAATAAGCTAAGAAATGGYCTCTGGAAAATCGACGATACCAAAGCGAAAGTGACCACAATGTCTGTGGAACTGGAAGAAGCCCAAGTGAAAGTGGCCGAATTCCAGCAGCAGTGCGACGATTATTTGATCATCATTGTTGCTCAAAGAAAGGAAGCTGATGATCAACAGGTGAGCTCTATGGGTAGGGGAAAAATATGTATTTGAGCTGCAAGGAAGGTATAGAAATTGAGCTGACACTGTTTGGAGTCTCGTTTATATTCCCGTGTATGGTTTGGACCTCAATTCACGTTTTTTCAGATTTCCATCTTCATTGAAGCTTAATATACAGGGTGATTCAGTAGTACACTAGCTAACTTTAGTAGGTGATGCTGATTGCTGATGAAAAGTTCTTAAAGGGGTGGTTTATAAAATACAGGGTGTTAGAGTTGGAGTCATCAGTGGCGCACGTGCCATTGAATTTAAAAAAAATGATTCGCCCTTGATTGCATGTTCAATTTCAAACAAAAAACTCTCCTGTTTTCTTCGGACAACGCGTCATTTTCGAGTAAAAAATTTAAAGTACCTTTTAATGTCGTCTMGTTCTCGTCAAAAACGTACAAATGTATTAATATATTCGAAATAGTTTGAGATATTTTAGCGAAATTTTGCAGATATCAATAGCTATTGTATGGCCAAGTTTCTACTCATTGGATCATTTTTTTGGATCGCCAGTGACTCGTGTGCCTACATGACATAAAAATATTTTGAAGAAAAAAGCACTGACTTCTCAAWAAATTAATTTCACTCTGCTATTGMTTGTTTGATTCCACACAAWAAAGCTCTCTTGAGTTTTCTTCGTACGGAGCTTYCTTTTGCAGGAAAAAAATAAAGTCATATTTARSCACGTCTTGGAATCCTCACAGCAACATTTATTGGARTTGAAATTATGAGGATTGATTCTMATGAGYTAAGTAAGTTGGATTTTATTTGAAATATTAACGATTGMAAATTATTTCAATTCATTAATTTTAATTTACATTAATTGCAAAGTTTGAATTATTATAGCTGTCGATATGAAGATTCCAAGATGTTCATTAATCCGATTTATATTTTTTTCTCGAAAATGAGACGTTGTACGCAGGAAACTTAAGAGACTTTTTCGTTCGGAACTGAACAGGCAATAAAATAATAAATTTCATTTTCTGATGAGTCAGTGGCGCGCCATTTTTTCTTCAAAAGCATCGCATGTTAGATCGGTACGCGAGCTACTGGTGAACCGAAAAAAAATTAATTTTGTAATTTCACGTGTTGGCAGAAAGAAGTTGCCAAGAAAAGCATCAAAATCGGTGAAGAAGAGATACAATGTAAGCGATTAGCCGAGGTTGCACAGGCCGACTTGGACGAGGCCATGCCCGCTTTGGACGAAGCCGTCCGAGCGCTGGATTCACTGAGCAAGAAAGACATCAGCGAAATGAAGAGCTATGGGACGCCTCCTCAAAAAGTGAAAATGGTTATGGAGGCTGTGAATATTTTAAAAGGAGTAGGTGGATTTGATCCCCATTGATTTTTGCTTAGCGATGTTACTTATCAGGTTGAGCCCAGCTGGGCGGAAGCCAAGCGCCTCTTAGGCGAAATCAACTTCCTCAAAGACCTAAAGGAGTTCGACAAAAATCACATATCGGAGAAAACGCTGAAGAAAATCGCCAACTATACAATGAATGAGGAATTTATTCCGGAAAAAGTGGGCATTGTGTCGTTGGCTGCCAAGTCCCTCTGCCAATGGGTAATTGCCATTGAGAAATATGCCAAAGTTTGGAAGTAAGTGCTGAGGCTTTGCTCGAAAAACCGACTAACTGAAGGCCTTGGAAGAGTTGTAGGCCCGAAAAAAGCCAAGCTAGATGAAGCGCTCGATTCGCTCAAGGAGAAGCAAGCGATGCTGGCGGAAGCGCAAGCTAAACTGGCCGAATTGAACATGTATTTGCAAAAGCTGCAAAAGGAGTACGAAGAAAAATTGGAACAAAAAGAGGAACTAAACAGAAAGGTACTTTTACCTAGTGACTCCTCTGTACAGTGTCCCATTTTTCGTAAGCATTATCTATAGGTGTCATCAAGGGCGGATCCAGGGGGGATGACCCCCCCATTCAATTGGCCAATGATTCATGACCCCCCCAAAAACGAATTTTCTGGTTCGAATGGTTCTTGAGAAACTTCGAAAAAAGCAGCGTTATGTTCAAGTGGATTTTGCAACTCAAAGAAAACCAGGCAAATCTAAAACTTCTTGAATTCAAGCATTTTTTAAGAAAACTGCCAACATTTCCCAATCCATGGTTCACTTTCTGAAAAGGCCATTTATTTCTGTCTAGAAT